TTTAGTTTGAATCTTTATATTGTTTTTCATTTCTGTACTTAACATGTTTATTATATTATTTCCCTTGTTGAATATATAAAATACTACTATCTTTACATATAAGAGAAACTAATGTCCTAATTGACCAAATAGTTACTTGTATCATCTCTACATCGATTTTAATTGATTGAGAGAATCTCATTGGTCAAGTTTTCCTGCTCGAGTGAGTGCCTGGTTTTTTGGATTAAATATTAGACATTAAGAATTTTTCCCATATTTTGAGTTGGAAGTTTATTTTCTCTATAGGTATTCTCAACTTTCTTCAAAGATGGAATTAATGTTGGAAACATTGACCTGCATGATCATGCTTTTTAGATTTCTGGATAAACCAGGGAAATTTTTATACGGCTTAAGAAAAATCTACTCAGGCACTACCCAATAACCATGAACTGCCAGTTTTGCAATACTTCCTGCTTATACTGGGTGTTATTCTTGTTTTTTGTGGGTTGTAGAGATTATTCTCCCTAAGGCTTTCATGTGGTTCTTCACACAGGTAGGGAGGTAGTACCTTCACAGGTATTCTATGAGGATTAATCAGTTGAATAAAATCAGTTCACTTTCTAATAATTTCATATTAGAATATTTGTATTGTGTGTTACACTGTTCATCATTCCTGTTTCTGCAACACTTGAACTGTCCAATGTATTTTTATTCTCTTTATTTATTTTGCTTCCGTATGGTGATTACTACTGTAATCTAGGATAGAATATGTAAAAATAAAAGTATAGAGAGCTTGTTTGGAAGTTCTAGCAGGGGAGTGCAGCTACTCCTCTACTCTTGACCAAGTAAAGGATCCTCTTCTATCTGGGGTGGTTATCGGCTCCCATAGAGCATAGTTTAGGGATGGACTTCCATGGAACTGTGAGGGAGGGGACACCCTAGCCAGCCAGGTCAACCCAATCAACTCTGGCGATCAATGGCATGACAGATGTTCTTAATGTTAGACGAATATTACATATCCTGAACTTTAAAGTAAAATGTCGTGTGCCAGTTTTACATAATTGCCATATATCAGAATGGTAAAGTTCTCTTTCTACTATTATGAGATATTTTATCATGTGGGTTTTGCAATTTACCAAATGCTTCCTACATCCATTGAGATTATATAACTTTCCTCATTGATTCTGACACAGGAAATTATGCTGATTCAGATCTGAAACTGCACCACCTTTTCATTCTTTCTAAAAATCACATTTATCAAATGTTTCTTTTTAAAAAATACTGTGTTTTAATTTACAATTAGTTTTTTCTGGATATTTGCATTTTATATTTGTGAAGCCTATTGTATTTTTAAATTGACTTTTCCATCTACTTTTGCTAACTGTGATTATCAATTTTTTTTCACAAAAACAATACAAGCAATACAGAATATCAGACAAGGTGATAGGAAATTAACAATAGTTGCTGTATTACATACTGATACCTTCAAATTGGATACTAAGATAAACAAACATGTAAGGTTGATCAAATACTTAAAATTAACTGATCCTTTCAATAGAGAAATAAAAATCAGTAGTACAACTATCTTAGCTATCCTGTGTATACATTTACACAT